TCCTGTCCTGTATTCTATCCCTCCTCTTGGAGTTTATAGCACCCAGTCAGCCTTTGCAAACAGCCCTCATGTATGCCCCTGACTTTGATTGATTGATTATAAAGGAGGTCTTGGGGTGCTTGCAAAGCTTTGAAAAAATTAAGAGACTAAAACATGGTAAAAAGTAAAATAAATATGTAGATCTAGATATAAATATGTATGTAGATAGCTCAAACACAATCACATATGTCACAATAACTTTCAATAAGAACATTAACACGATCACAGCCTAATTGCTAACATATTCTGTTAGGTTTGTTGATTTTTTCCATTCATAAAATGACATATTGCTTCATTATGAATATAATGAATTTATGGAAATCAGCCACAAGGTATAGTAATGCTGTCCTCCAGTTCAGATGGCTCTGAAATGGAACTAGCCTGATACATCAATCACAGCTTGATAAGTTCCTATTAGGCAAGAAACAGCCTTCCAAGTTTAGAGCCAGTATTCCTCCAAGAACAATTAAACAACCAAACCCCAAATACCTTGTTTCTGCTGTGGATTTCTCAGACCTATTTCTATGGAATCTGTCTGGGTAAAACATCTGAATGGAATCAGTTATTACAACAGCAAATCTATGGTGGTATTTTGACTGTAACAGAAGTTTCATTCATTAATAACAGATTTGATTATTGGTGGGGGGGATTTCTATGAAACAAAACTATGGATCTAATTCTAATGTATGGAGTTTCACTTTTTGATATTGGAAACTCTATTAAACTTTATATGGAATATAAAGGAATTAAGTCTGAAGATATATATGAAATATAAAAGGAATTCAAATGTGGAACCATTTTACTGTCGAGTGGACAAAGAGTAAGCAAGCTGTAACTTGGATGGAGAAAAAGTTGGACATTTTGTTAATCAGGTGCCTGATGATGACAATAACAATATGCAACTGGATGAGATTTTCAATTCTCCTTAGGGAAAAATAGACAACTTTAATCTCTTGTGATCAGTTGGAAACCCAGAAAAAAGCCCCACATATTTCAGTGGCTATATCAATTTTTATTTGCAATTGTATTTTTATATTTATTGTCCAAGAATAAGAATGTACTATTACATCATTCTTACTATTCCACATTCAATGCCAGTAATGCATTTTTTAGATCTGGATTGTTGTAGCAAAATCTATATATGAGTTCATAAAGATTAAGTTGCATTACATCCATTAATTTATCTAAGAGAGGGTTTATTCACTAGTCAATTTCACAGTAGCCTTAAGTTCCCAGACAGTTCAGTCTAGACAATTTGAAAACCACTTCTATAACACTGTTAGAAAACCTAGGACTTTAATTTATTTTCAGCTAAGGTTTCTTGTTGCACTATCCCACAAATATAACAAACTTTGCAATACATTGAATTTAACAAAAAGCATGATTGTTCCTGAAATCCTGTCATGAAAATATTACAGTCATTGTAGAATTTGAGGAAAAATAAGGATCAGGGACATGGGGTGGCACATTTGTCTTTGTTGGGGCAGGGTGTCAAACTGGCAGCCCACGGGCTGGATACACCATGCATAAGCCACGCCCACCCCAGCTCTGCAAAGGGGGAAAATGTCATGATACGTCACATGATGGCATCATGATGCAGTGAGATTGACACCCGTGGTCTAGGGCTTCTGTTATGTTACCGGGTTAAGAAGATGGAAAAGTAGAACTTAACTTTGTATCAAACATGCAATGTAATGGTAACTCAACCAATACTTCTATATGCCTAGTAGAAGAATTTCTTATGGGTAATCAATGGAGGTTAAGGAGAGGAGGCTAGCCACAGTGGAATTCTGAAGGATCCAGCCATAAAGTTTCTGCCAAAGCATGATTACGGTTGGCTTTTTTTATGCAGACAGGTGATCTGTGCTTTCAACCAGGTCCCATATAAAAATGATGATTATTGTTTTGTATACCGATGATGATGATTGTCTTTTACACCTTCGATTCAAATCAAGGATCTTAGGACCTGGTGGTGACCAAAAGCCTCAGACCTTTTTACTTGCAACGGCTCATTTTGAGCTTAATAATGTCATGTCTTTGAAACAGGTTGTTTTCAATGACTCCTATGAATAATAATAATAATAATAATAATAATAATAATAATAATAATAATAATAATAATAATAATAATAATAATAATAATAATAAGATACACAGCTGG